GCTCGCAATTCGAGGCATTTCTTAATAAAAAAAATCTCAATTGTAGCACGTACCAAAAGGCCGTGAGTTTAACGAGGGAGCATCTTGAAGAGATTTGCCTTAGAATGAAAGCGGCCGTCCGTTAACGGATACGCCCGCGATGCGTTGATCAAAGAAATTCAACGGGCGGGGTCGTGCACGACACGCGCGTGTGTTGCCGTGGATATTTTTAAGTCGGCACTTGTATGTACGCCGCCGCTCGTGTCGCGGAAAAGGAATTTCGCGAAACGTTCTTATCGAAAGCCATGGCCGATTGCCATCAGACCGCAGCGAGGCTTTGTTGCGGCAGCCAAATGTTGATGATTACGCACAATAAAATTTATAAGACATTTACAAAGAGTGTCAAAATTAAATTATATGGGATTTCCTCGTGTTAATATGGAGTAGACATTACCTCACCAGGAGATTCTATAGAATCAGCGCTCTCTGTGACGGACGTGTCGCGATCGAGCGATCGAACGTACCGATCTGGATCATCCTTTCTTCTATCATCCTTCACGTGAAGCGATCGGTCTGGATAGTTTATAATATTTTTGCGCGAATCTAAAAAAAGAGTAGTTATTAGAGTAGTTTTTTTTATTCCGTACTAAAGCTCAAAATTGTTGATTATTATAAATCATTGATTATTACAAATTATGATTATTATAAATGATTATTATAAATGTGGGGAGAGAATTCTGTGATACTTTGATGAAGAAGACCGCTAGTGTAGTATTTTACTATTCAAATTTTGATATATAATCATCGAATATATTCATTTCTAAATTTAAAATTGATTTTGCTTTATTAAACAAAAATCCGTTTACAGCCAATCGGAAGCTTTTATATAAAATTTCATCAATTTACCATTTTAAATCCTTAACTTTAAAACAATTCTGATCTCAGTTTTTGTCCTAGAATCTCAATTTTTGCTTTCGATCAATGAATATATAATGCAACATCCGCTCTAAGATATATTGATAAAAACATGTTTTCTCACCGTCGAACACCTCATCATTCGACGACGACGCAGGTGATACTCTGCCAATTGGCGTGGACGGGCTGGAAACCTCGCTTGTGCATGCCGACAGCGCCGATCCGGTGCTCCAGCTTCCGGTGGTAGTCGCGTCCGGGATCCGTAGGTATCTCGTCGTCGACATCGGCGACGTCGTCGTCGTCGTCGTCGTCGTCGTCGTCGGCATGTCCAGCTCCGCGATGTCCGCGAGATCGTTCGTACACGCGCGCTCCCATTTGAAGGCCGCCTTCACTCTGGTCCACTTGCTGATCTTCGGGCCGCCGTTGCGACTCGCGTTCCTCGCGGCACATTTGTCCGTCTCTCCCGTCTGCTCGACCAAACGCGAGCCGAGATTCTGTTCGACCAGCGCGAGCGATCGGCTTCGTTGCCTCGACGACGCGGACGATCGCACGCTCGCGCGCTCGCTCCGCCTCGGCGTCGAGAACGCGGCGTCCCGGCAGTTCGACAGCATCGCGTCCAGCAACGATTCCGCGAAGCCGGTGTCCTCGTCTAGGAAGTCGTGGTGCAACTCCTCGCCGTTCGCCAGGGCGATCTCCAGTCGCCGATCGGCATTCCGCTGCACCTTCGCGCGCTCCAGGCCCCGCACCCGCCGGAAATGCTCGGAGCTGCGTAGGCGCAGTTCCAAGATCTGCTCCGTCAGCGTGCACAGCCGGTCCAGGTGTTCGAACGCCTCCTCGGTGAAGGGGACCGCGTCGCCTCCCATCGCCGAGGTCGTCGAGTTTGGCGTGATGTCGTAATCGAATGAGTGACCCTCGAACGGCGACGTACCGAGCTCGCTGAGATAAGCCGTAAGATCCTCCTCTTCTTCCTCGGTCCCGCGAGACGTCACCCCCGAGCGATGTTCCCGCGCAGTCGGAGGGCATTGCGGATCCGGGGGCGGGGTCGGAAGTTGACTCTCTTCGGGCTTGTCCTTGACCCTGAGGGCTCCTCTTTGATCTCGCGGACGACTCGATCTGTCGAGCTTCCTCTCAGGTGCTTCGAGAGCACCGGATTCCTCGGTCGGATGAGCATTATCCTCCGCCATTTGATGAATTATTGAACGAAAGCACGAGATCTAGATATTTCGCGGGATGCGACGGGCAATATTTAACACATTATGAGAGTTTAATGTCATCTTTTATGTGGTTTTACCGGAACAGCGTCGTAACATGACATCGTGTGATTGTGAACCATTCATAAAATTTGTGTAACTTTGATCCTGACTGAAAGTTATTTTGCGACTTAAATATCTTTAATTCCTTTATTTTATTTTTTATGTTTTTCTATTTTATTTCTACTTTATTTTATCTTTTATTTTAATCTTTTAAGTAATTTTATATTTTTCGTTTATATTTCAGCAAATTAGAAAAAGCACTCTGATATCGAAATGTTTCTGTTCCGTTAAGTGTTTATACAGTGTCTGTTTTTTTATTTCGTCATTGTATATCAAACTTCTTTCATTAAAAGAATCTTACGTATTCCTTTATGGCCACTGGTATATTTCGTTGACTCCAGTTTACACAAAGAGTTTTCCGAATACTTTTATCTAAATGTTTGCGCCATATTATACGTTCTTTGTCAGATTTGTTTCTGTACGCGTTGGTAGACGGAAATGCGATCTATAAATTGATGGTAGAAGCGAAGTGTTGATTCCTCCCGTAAATATCCGATCGTATAAATATTATGGGAAGCGAAGGCGCGGTAATGGGTTCGACTACACTAATGGCGTTTCTTCTTGCCGTAAGAATCAGAAAAGTACGAAAAGTGCAAAGAAGAAACATCAATTCTCTTCTTTATTTATAATTTCCACTGAAATTCTCCAGTACGACTTACGCTTTTCATAGTCTTCATATGATTGCTTCATCAATTCTCTTCATCGATTTCTTTTTCCAATTAAACGTGGTGTTTCGATTTAAAATATTTAGAAAGAATTTTCTAAATCTCGTTGGCGTATAAGAAGATTTGCTGCGAAATAATGCTAAATCGCCTGCGTATGCGTTTACTTATGTAGGGCAGATAGCATCTTTGTTTTACACGAAACACGACTCCTTTGTTAAGATCCACCCGAATTTCTTCCAACTCGCCTCCGAACGGAATCCAAAGAGAACGAACGTTGCATCGAACAATTCTTCTTCTTCTTTAATCTCCAATGATCCCCAATAAATTTCTCCTTTTACTTTAAAAAATTCTTTTATTTAAAAAAATTCATTCTCCGTCGCAGGATCTTCCGTTTGAAATGCAGTCGACGTAAACTGGAGGTATACTACTTTTCACCACCCACGTACATCACCATGGTACATCAGAAATTCTCTTGAAGGAAGCGCTTCGATTAATCGGTTACACGACAATTCTCTTCTTCTTCACTTTTGTACTCGATCGTCGAGTACGAAATCACATTTCTCTTCGACGCACCCTCGATCGCCAGGAATTCGGCTCGCGCGACCTCGCGAGGTCGCCTCTTCGCCGAGAAGCTCGTCGGACGTCGCGCGTTTCGAGACTTCGACGATAGCGCGCCGAATTATTTTCGGTGACGAGCATTCGCCGTTCGTATTTACGGCGGATGCGCGTACGTGTGTATGCGCGTGTATAGAATATACGCGCGAGTTGCAAAGGCGTCGCGACGCCGAGACGGGAGTCTCGCGTCGGGAGGCGGGCATGCGCGACTGCTTGCGTGCGAGCGTTCTTCCTGTTCCCGTCGAAAATAGACGGGAAGGCGGCGGCGGGAAGACGCGCCCGTACGGTTCTTATTTATAAGCGCCGCGGAATAACGCTACCGATCATAAAGCTCGCCCCGTGCTACTTTCGCCGCGCGAGATAGAGAATCTCGCGATTGCTAAAAAGATAGAGAATCCCGCATTGCTAAAAACTGTGGATGGCCCATTACGAAAATGTAGAATAAAATCTCCTTGTGCAAGGCCTAAATGTTAAACTGACATGTCTGACGAAATTTCAGAGAACAATTTGAGATTTAACAAACGGAAAGAAAGGGAAATTTGCATAAAGTAAAATTTTACTCGAGAAAAATACGGTCGTGGCTCTACTGACGGAAAGTAAATCGTCCTTTGAATATATCCGGAAGTATGAATTACTCCTTCATCGGCAATCCAGTTAAATCAGGCACCAACAGCATAATAATCGCCGCACCTGCGAAATGTTTGATATTCAGTAAGGCAGCTCGTTAAACGTAACGATCGCATTTTCATACCCATCAAGCTAGTCGACGCGACGATTATACTTATTAGGCAGGTCGTTCTTAGGAAGAGCTGCAACGCGAAAAGCGTCAAGTGAGGAAGTATCCTCGTTAAACCCATCACCGTGCCTCTAGAATTGGTACCAGAAGCCACGAGTTTTAATACCGTCACGTCCGCAAACATTTGATTCCCGAAAACGCGTCTGATGATCTAAGATTAGCCAGACGTGCTGGCCATTCCGTTTCGCGTGACCTACCTCAGAGCGGTGGGATAATTCTCCAGCAGCAAAACGCACGTCGTCGTGTGCCCGATAGCGTAAGCGGCCAGGAAAATCGACGACAGAGTTACACGAATCGCGTGGTGCAACCGAAAAATAAGCACGAGCGAGGCCACGCCACCCACGAGCGCCGAAGATACTGAAGGCAATCAGAGAAGAAGAGATCTTTTTTAAGCTGTTAGAATGTATTGTGTATCAGCACGATTCTAAAAAAGATTTCAAGACAACTGGTAACTTGAAAAATGAGGAATTACGAGGAAAAATACTTATATAATTACTAAATTATTATAATTATAAAAATAATTAATAATTTTAGAAATGATAAAAAAAAATGTGATTTGAAGATTTAATTAAGCGACGACGATAGCGATCTTTGGCGGCCGTTTAAGTGCTTACTTAGATACGGCCTTCTGCCAACGTTGTCGATTCCGATGATGAGCAACGTCTCTCCCAGCACGTAGCCCAGCGACACCAGCAACAGCAATCCGAAACGAGCCTCGTTCGTCTCGTCGCAGTTTCGTAAAAAATCCAATACCACGTTCTGAATATTGACGTTACACGTGCCGTTGCCGCTTACAACGTGCTCCGCTTTCATTTCCTGAAGAACGTGCGTGTTCCACAGAGCGAGCCAAGCAAATCTTAAACATCGTCCCTGTGATTTTCCTCGCGATCGAAATACGGAGTACGGGAAACAGAGAGCTTACGGAGATACTTCTTTTATTACCCGGGAAATTGCAGAAGACACGCTAATGTCCCGTACAGTGTCACACGCTTGTACGGATGTTTGTATATTCTGTAGACCTGTTCCCAGGTTTTCGTGAAGTATCTTTGAATTTTGTTATCTTCAGTCTCCTCGTCTGGACGCACGCAGTCTTCTAGATTCTTGACCTGGAGTTATACAAAACAATTCGAAAGAATAGATAAAGAATCATCATCGACAAATAAAACATGTATGAAACGCAAAAATTCAAAAAAATTCATCTCAATTATGATAAATTACACAAATATTTATTCTTATCTAATTCTAAATGAATGATCTTTCCTAACTAATCAATCAATTTTCAATTTTCTATTTTTCTATCTATTTTTCTATTTCTTCCTACAAACTGAACTTCTAGGACTGTCTATTTTCAGAACTCAGAAGTGGCAGATGAGAATTGAATGTAGGCATTGAATGTAAGAAAATAATAAGATTGCTTTGACGAAGCAGGCTGGGTTACTGTACCGGGTAGGTATCGGTATGCTTCGAATTATTGATGGCATACATCTGTTGGAGCACCGCAAGCGCCTGTCTCGGTCGTCGACGGTACAGCGAGTATCGAGGACTTGGCGGTAGCAGACCAGAAGCACAGGCGATCACCAGGCTTGGCATGCTACAGAGAGCGACGAGTATTCGCCAGGAACTCGGCCGGAATTGCCTGTTCAGCATTTGTATGATGGACGGCATCATGGACCAAGAAACTCCTTTCCGAACAAAGAAATTTCTATAATTTGTCTTCAACATATCATTTTTCAAAAAAATAAAACAAAACCACCACCCAAAAATATTTTGTTTTAAAATATTTTGCGACATCTAACATCTTTTGCATCATATTGGTCATTAATTATAGTTTTTAATTGGATAGAAATTTTAATAAATTGTTTTTTCTTCATCAATATACACTGGAATTTTTTTATTTCCTTATCTCTTTTATTTACCGAATCGTAAATAAAAAGTGTATAAATGAGATTATCTACAAAAATTATTTTTTTAAGCAAAATAGAAATGAAAATAATTTATAAATATAAATATCTATTAATCGAGTTCTTTTTTTGCATCCGTTGATTATATTTTAACAAGACTGAAGTTTATTAATATTAAAGAAATAAAGCATTTAATAAATAAAGTAGATCAAAATTAAAATAATTGAAGAATATAATGTTTAATAAATAAAGATTAAAAATAAGTATAAATTGTAAAGAAATTTCTTCGTAAATTATTCGTTTACCTAAGGCTGATAAATAGCCGACTATCCAGAACATGTCGATTACTGCTAAGCAAGTTCCTCTTTTTTTCATCGGTAGGCACTCGATAAGATAAACTCTCACGACGACATTACTTCCGGCTGCTCTATGAATATCATTGACGTCACAACGCAACAGTTTTTTATGTAATTACAAATTACATGTCACAATATCTTTCACTTCTGTGCACAATACAAGATATGCACGTTTGATAAGAAGGGATAAATAAAGAATTACGTACATGAAACATATGCTAATATAATAAAAAAAAATAAATAGAACAATAAAAATATTTTTAAACCTACGAACGTATTATCCATGACTTTTTATCACTTTAATCTCAGTCATCATCAAAAGACTTACAAAATTATATTGGTGACTTTCATTATAAAAGAATAGGAACTTACCCTAATCCTAACATAAATACCGATATATTTATCAAGAAATTATTTTGCACGAAGGCGAGGATAGTTGAGGCGCAAAATATAGTGCCCATAGCAATTGGAATCGATTTTTTACGACTGATGGCATCTGATATAGTTCCAAACAGAAAAGCACCTACTGCCATTCCTACACGATCAAAGCGATTAAAAGACATCTAACACACATAACGATATATTTTAATAAAATGCAAAACTGAAAAATAATAAATTTTTCATATATAGACAAGAAATAGATCTTATATTTTTCTTTCGATTTCTCGTTTTATATCGGACATAAAATAATTAAATTGAATAACTTAATTCCAATTGGATTGAACTATTAAAATAATATTTCAATATGAAATTCCATATAGCTGTTTTGATATTGTATACCAAAACTGGAAGTTGCGATGGGCATTGTGGCCTGTTCCCTATTGAGTTTTAAATCACACGCTATCAACGGTGCCAGAATGGGAACAGTTAGAGAAGTGCTTGCTTCCGCGAGCGATAGCAAGCCGCATAAACCGACGACGAAGTAATGCCAGATACCCCATCCTGCATTGAGTATGCAAATCTTAGAAATATATATCTTCTAATTTAGCATCTCTTAAATGTGGATTTAATATAATTTTTATGTAACGTTTCAAATAGGTTCTGTTTAGTTGATATAATTAGTAAAAGACAAATTGTCATAAGCAACTTTTTCAGAAAAGGAAATGCAAATTTTAATTTTTTCACTTCTTACCTGCTTGAGTTATTGCAGCTTCGTAATCGTCGCTCATGTCATGTAAAAATAATAATGACAATCTTATTGCAATTGCATAAAAAATTGCAAATAGGTTATTAAATATTATATATACAACGAAGTTCTCTGCAATTTGTCTGTTCGAGACTTTCACAATCTTTTTGTTAAATTCAAAAACATACTGTTACTTTGGCCTAATTATTAGTTAGATTTTAGGTTAATAAAAAAAATTATAACTAAAAACGCGTTCAAAAAATGTGCCATTTCCGACTTAAATTTGAACTTTGAAGCACAGATTTTAATTATGATTCGACTTAGGTTTATAATGTGTACTTTCTTATCAAAATTTTTATGCCGCTTAGTCACTCAATTTTCTAATCGCATTGATATCGATATCAATATTCGTTATCATATAATTGATCTATATCACTAAATACGTGCACTTTTAATGTATTCATTATCGGGTGATATGTAATTCCTATACTATGAGGTGATAAAACATTATCTTAGAATATATAGAAAATAAATCCGTTTTATTATTATTAAACTAAAGACAGATATTTCAATGTGAAAATCACGATATGTATATCTAATTATACTAAACAAAAACAGAAGTGAAATGTATCAAATTAGAAAAGTATGCAGCGAAAGAGTATGAAACACACACGCACATATGAGTGTATTTTTAACTGAGTGTAGTAAATATGAAGAAATATCAGTGTACGATTTTATTGTCTATTGATCCTTGAAGTACTCCAACGATCCAACGACGTCAGGCTTCATAGTTTTCTTGCCGGGTTTCCAGCCAGCTGGACAGACTTCACCGTGCTTATCGGTGTATTGGAATGCTTGAACCAGACGCAAAGTTTCATCCACAGATCTATAATTAGCATACAATACGAGATCATTAGTATTATTAGCATAACAAACTTACGTTTTGTTGTCAAAGTCAATGCCACATTTGAATGCCACATTTTACATTTTTACATCTTATACCATACGGCACTTTTGTGGCACAAAATTATTTTTATAACTTTAACATAGTCTTAATAATTGAGTAAGAACTTCACCTTCCCACGGGCAAGTCGTTGATGGTGACTTGACGCAAGTTCTGCTTGTCGTCGATGATAAAAAGTCCACGGAAGGGAATTCCTGACTCCTCATCGAGCACACCGTAGTCGCGAGCAATCTTGCAGCTCTTGTCCGCCAATAAAGGAATATTCATCTCACCGAGACCTCCTTGTTTACGCGGCACATTTACCCACGCGAGATGGCTGAAGTGGGAATCGGTAGATGCGGCGATCACATGGCAATCAATGTCGGTAAACTCCTTCACACGGTCGGAGAAAGCGATGATCTCGGTCGGGCACACGAAAGTGCTGCGACAAAATGATCATGCCTCAATCATATTCATACACAATCCCAATTCTTTTCTTCATTTCCCAATTCATTTAAAAACCTTAATAAAAACGAGCAAAAGTTTAATTTCATATAAATGCAAATCTCTCACAATCTAAGTATTTCTTCATTAAGTCTATCAGTCTATCGCCAATAAAAGTCACCTTAAATTTGACGTAAATATCAACAAATTTCAAAACACGGGATCTGCTTTTGTAATTGATTCTCTTAGAATGTAGAACACGTATCTCTTTTGTTATCTCTTTAAATGTATCAGCTAAGAATCAAGCATAGTCGAATGCAAATGCTAAGCAATTATACAATAGCACTTCTTGCGCTAGCAGCGATTGAGAGTCGCATAACCGCCTTATATTCCGTTTACCGAAGGTACGAGTCGTTAAGTGCTTACAAATCCAACGGGTAGAAGAAGAGTACAACATATTTGCCCTTGTAGTCGGAGAGTTTGATATCCTTAAATTGTCCATTCACAACGGCGGTGCCGGAGAAAGCGGGCGCCGGTTTCTGGATCTCAGGCACTGGCATGGTTACTGTTTCGTCGCTACAATCAAGAACATAGAAGGATTCTATAGAATTTAAAGTCTTAGCAGCGATCCTTAAACATATGGCTTATTTTCAATACAACTACTAATCTCTATTCTCGTTTGAAATTTTGCGACAAATTTGTTTCGACTGCATAACAAATAAAACTTTGATAGGACGTTTTTTTTATCATCGCCTATAAAATTCAACTAATATTCCTGCAAATCGGTTTTGCAGGAAATGAACATTCGTTTCTGCGAGCTATTTGATAAGATTTATGTAGGAATACAGCGGAAATATTGAATTTTGATATAACATCATACTCGATGCGTACTTAAGAATTGTATACTTTAAATAATTTCCATAAGTGTAATCAACAGCGCTAAGTCAGCACTTAGACACGAGTGAATTTCCGCGATAAGCCCTCGAGGATCACCAGAACTAACTAAATATTTATTCAGCGATAACTTGTGTAAAGATCCTCGCGTATTTTGTATATCGAGAGTTGTCACGCACATTACCAAGTATGCACACACGCGCGCCGTGTTATCTCTATTGATGACAAGCCAATAAATATTGAAATGTCAATCGTGACAACGGGAATGACAAATGAAATATGAATAAGGAATAATTCGGCCGAAGAGAAACGCGGTGACGCAGAAACGCGGGAATTAACGGCGTATTCAGAATTGATGATTAAACATACCGAATTTATTTGTTGGAAGCCGCGAATAAATAAAACGTAATATTTAAATAAGCTGTCGATCTAAAAAAAAGTCATCTGCACATGTGGATTTTTTTTGAATCGTCAACCCGTTTATCTTTGACGACTTTTCATGAGTCAGTGATGTATTTTTGGCAAACTAAGCGATAAATTGAAATTTGCATAAATCGATTGCATAAATTAATATTACAAATCAATTCGATTATTTTTAAGCACGTGCGTTATTGGAAAATTAGGTTCAGTATTTCCCAGGAGTATTAATGGAATAAATGGGACAAGCCAAGAGGGACCGACCGAACTGGGACATCAGGTGAGACCTCGGATTGCGCAACGATCAACATATATATATAAAAGTCCAAGTTTTGTATAGAAAAGAAAGAAAAGAAAAAAAAAAAAGAAAGAAAATCATGTACAAAAGAGCTGTGAAAAAAAGCTTCGAAAACAATTCCTCGCAGAAGCACTTGAAAAGAATACTTCGCGCGGACGACCTCGTATATGGCGAAACTTTCCTTTGTTAGTCGGCTCCATTGGCGAGTCCGCGTAATTCCAACTATAATGTGCACTTAGCGATAACCGCAATCTCGCGGTTCATCCTACTCCGGTACTAAAAGAAAAAAAAAAAAAAAAAAAGAAAAATACGGAGGTCTGATTTTACGATACTTAATTTTCATTTCATGAAAAAACGTCGAAAAAACATCGGCATTAGAAGTTATATATAGATAACGCGAGAATTTTTATTGGTATTTAAATTGATATTAAGAAGCAATTTTCTCCTTCATATTTCGACGAACTTATTAAATATCTATTATATATGTGTTATATAAAGCGATACACGATGCGTCATATTTGATCAAAACCCGACTTGTTTCCTTTCACGTTCGACATGTTTATGTTGGAATCTCGTTAAATTTTGATTTGCTTTCGACGATGTATTCTCGAAGGAATTCCCACGGGAGACAATACCGCTAATTTGTTCGTAATTATTCGATAATTTACTTGACATTATAGCTGACGCGGATTACCGCGCATAAATCCATACGCGATACGTGTTGGCGCGAGTTGCAATTGATAAAGTTCTGCCGAGCGAGACGGCGAACTGAATTGCATCAATTCGCGCAGATACAAAAGTTCCTCTGAAAAAAAATTTAAAAAAAGCCATGTGACGTGATCCCTGAATCGATGCGATTTCGTTTCGCTGCGCTATTACGCAAACGTTTCCGAGAAACATGACAGCATTGCACAAAAATTCTGCCAGTCGTTAATTAAAGAAGAGTTCCGTCCGAGACAAGGAAGCGATTTATCGTCTTCAAACAAGGAAGATTTATAGAAGGTTTAAATCAGATGAAGTAAAATGTAGATGGTAAACAGAAGCGACACGACACGCAATTCTTCATTTCGAGCATTTCCGAAATTCAAAGTTAAATTAATGCTAATAGCACGCATGCAAATTAATTTCACACATTTCTTTTTACGACATCTAAAAGCAATCCCTGCGATTTCATGAAAAAAAAAAAAAAAAAAATCATTTTCGATATTATCAAAATTATTTTACGCGTTATCGTTGGAATAGAAATCTTAGCAAGAGTCCCTACAAATTCTATTCGGTAGTAATTTCGCCGTCAACGTCGTAGTACGTGACTCGCCAAATAGCATTGCGGCGATCTCAAATTCTCTCCGTCTCTCTCTCTTCCTCTCATTCTCGGTTGACCTCCGGTCTTGCGAAATAGAGCGTAATTCTTGCGAAATCGCGGAACGGTACTGCTCGTCCGAAAGTGACACTTCCAAATTACATAATTCGTTCTCACGAGCCTCCCCGTGGCGCCTCCATCACAACAAAACGTCCCGATCTCGTCGGGGCGTCGTCGTCCGATAAGCCGCCGAATTTCGACCGTTAGCATCAAACAAAAAAAGCCGCGATTAAAGCGCGATCCGTCCGACGTCGTTTGTTCGCTCGCACGTACGAATATCGATCCCGTCGGCCTATCTTGACAGACGGTCGACGAGAAATTCGAGGAAATTATGAATGACGAACATTACCTCGAATAACTTCCTCGAAGAAGACTCTGGTCCGCAAGAGACACGACAATGATGAGAAGGGAACGGGAACTCGCCGGCGACCGGTCTCAGAGACCTTTTGGTATCGACCGCCGCATATATATAGACAAGGAAGTTGAGCGGCGTCAGAAATCGCTGCGACATCTAGCGGCAGGTCATTAACGTGAGATTCAAGTTGGTTTTAATTGCACTTTGTGCACTCGGAAATTTTGCCTCGCTGAATACTTGAATATTGACGCACACGAAAATGTTAGGAAATGCAAATGCAACGAATTTTTGAGAATCGCTATTTAAAGCTGCATTGAAGTTCAAACACATTAATGGTTAAGATAAAGAATACGATATTAAAATATAATATAAAGAATTAGAAATAGAAGATTATTTTCGAAAATCGTCTTCATGTTTCTTGACGAGTTATGAAAAATCGCCTGTTAATGTTCGTCAATACTTTATTTCTATACAACAAAAAAATTACGCGAACGTAAATGGATGTGTAATTATATAAACATACGCTTGATGAATTGTGGAAGTGAAAACTACAAAAGTGAAAAAATTCACTAGAGTATCTACAGCTTCATGGGTCTGTTCTTTTCAGCTGAATTTCTTGCACAGTTCATCTTTTCTCTTTTTCTCTCTAACATGAAAGAAAAGGAAGAAAGATGAACTGTGCAAAATTTAGCTGAAAAGAACAGATCTTATATGTCGGAAGCTGGCAAATTTTCTCATTTTTATAATTTTACCCATAGACATAGTATACCTAGACCGAGCGTTTGTTTCGACGGTGAAAAAGACCGGGATGGCTTCTCTTTGGTCGACATAAGTCAGATTGGAAGATTGAGAAGATTCTGTTAGCATATCTACTTACATCTTGATCTACTTAGGAATTTTCTGCTCATTTTTTTTCTTATCAAAAGATATAATATTTAATTGAGCAATATGAACTAACAAGAATCACCCGGAGTAACTTCCGGAAAACTGAGATGATAAATGTTCTGAAGTTGGCTGCACTGATATTTACCTACCGAATGGATGACAACAGATGATGGTGACAGGTATGTTGAGTAGTTTTAAATACTTTTTGTTCTGAATTTACTCCGAATTTATAGCCGGATCTCAGCAGGTTATATTTCGGTGCTTTGATACTTTTATATTTTGTAAAGTTCCAAGAAAAACTGTACTTATCTACTTTGCAGGAACGACAGTTAACCTCTCACGCTGTTGTCAAAAAGTTATCGTTTAAGGGTAAGTGCTCTTTTTCTTATTACTATTGCTCTCCGTTTAATTTAACTCAACTAATGTACGATACATTTTATGTATTGATACATTTCTCAAAAATATGCAGGATATATTTTTGCAAATGTTAAAAATTTCCTTTTCCTCTCTCCATGTTCTCATTATACAAATCAACATGTCCATTCAGAGAACGTCGCATACATAAGAAGATAATACATATTAAAGAAAAATAATAATAATATGTAATAAATAACAATAGAATAAAGTTGGGAATGAATAAATCGTTGTCTCGTAAACCATAATGTGTCATACGTGCTAATTATTTCTGCGTTATTTGTTTTTTAATAACAACAATCTGTATAAATAATACATCTTTTGCGTATGCCGCGACATCGAAGGAACGAACCGCTATGGCGAACGTTTCTACGCGCGATTCTGCGGTGCCGTCGCCGCAAATCCCGCGGACAGGATACACAATTTTCCGATATATAAATAACACGCGAATACATCTGCGTGTGCGTTATACCTCTTATCTGTAAGAATGATAATATATATTTTTTTTGGCACTTACTAATAATTAATCGAAATCAGGGACAGTTGGGGGAGGGGGATCATCCTAAACATTAGACGAATGCGTTAGGCTCGAATTCGCAAAAGAGAGAGAGAGAGCGAGATCCCTCGACAATCCCTTCTCTCTTTTCTTTTTCCATTTCCCGAACTTTATTTTAAGATCGTTTTCGTAGCGGAGAGCTAGGAGAGCTGGTCTCTTTCTCGCCAAACGATGTCCAGGATAGTTCAGTATGTGGTGGTGCGGGAAGATCTTACGAGGACAATGGGGTGGCCACTGGGCGCCGTGATCGCTCAAGCGTGTCACGCGTGCACCGCCGTTATCCATCTCTTTTACAATGACGCCCACACGCAGGCCTATCTCGCTGATTTAGACAACATGCACAAAGTGGTCCTCGAGGTAAGTATAACTCGGGAACTTTCGCGAACTCTCGTCAACGAGCTATCAATCCGCGCGTGTTAATTGACGCGTTACGATGCACGCGAGAGGAGAATTAACTCTACAGATCGCAATCTAATCTTCCGTATTTTGTTTATTATAAATGCCTAGTCGGTCGAAACTAATCGCTCTTAAGCCACGGTATAAATAAATAATGAGAAATCATGAAAATAACAGGCCGCCGATGAAGCCAGTCTACAGATGCTGTGCTCGAAACTGAAGGAGGACGACATTCAGCACAAGCTGTGGATAGAACAACCCGAGAACATCGCGACGTGTCTAGTAACAAAGCCCTATCCTAAGGACAAGGTGCAGTCGTATTTCAAAAAGTACAAATTACTCAAGACGTGACAGTAAGAATCTAAATGGCAATAAATACCAAAAAAGACACAGAATGTCTCCTGTTATTTTCTACGTTATCAAATTTAATTTAATTCTCTCAACGCCACTTTTAAAAGATCTGAAAACGTCTGTGAAAAAAATTTGTCAAAAACTTTCGGTTCACATGAACATGCGCGACTGCTGAGTGTAATTAATATTAATTGAAAGATACTATTTTGAAAAACTCGATAGACGAGACATGATTTTCCGACGTTCACGCGAGACAAATACTAACTTTGAAGAAGAACATCAGTAGCATCTATATTTTATTTCCATTCGAGCGGAAGATCAATGCGTCGGAGATAAGCTGCGCTCCGCGAACGTTAGCTCGAACGTAGCATCTGTCGATATTGCAACGGGCAACACCTCGGTCCTATCTTTTTTGTCTATCTTCTTCGTTTTCTCTCCTTTTTCTCCCCCCTTTTTTTCTTTTATTACGAGCGACATCGCTCCGACGTACGGAAAATATTTGCGTGCGGAGCTACGAACGTCCGAGAGAGATAGAAAAAGAAAAGAGAGAACAGCTGCGAGACGCTGCGGTCCGATATTTCTGACATCGAGTAGATACACACTCTGATTTATTCCACGATACCTTGCAAGTATTGACAAAGCGTGTGTACAGTCGTACTTCTTCCTTCCCTGCATTGCGCACTAGCGTTAGAGTACGATTCTAATCTAGACGAGAATAATCTAGACAGCGCGATACTAATCAACTAGTCGTATCAAAAAAAGTTTTCTCTCTTTCGTCGCGCGAATCTACCTTGCTCTACGATAAAAAGTACGGCGAAGATCATCTCTTCACAGGTACGGATCGACGTACGTCTCCTCCGTGGGATTAGCCGAGAGGCGACCTGATCGCACATTGTCAAAGAGAAATTTTCCAAATGTCCGAGTCATTTTTTCGGGATATTTATGTATACGACGCGCGAGGTCCGTTTGCCTTGATAAGAAAAAAAAGGAATAAAAGCATGCTTCAGGCCACGATTAAAAGCTAATCCATCGGTGCGTTGCGATTTTTCCACTCTTCGCTTGTGCCTCTCGTTATCGTAGCTCGCTCAAATTCGTAGAGAGTAGGTCCTTCCACGGCTCGTCGCCGCAGGAAATTCGCCCGGAAATGTCGAACGTTTGTGCGGCGAACGTCTCCTTCCTTTCCTCATCTCGCATCATCGCGCTCGTCCGCGAAAAGTGTGTTCTTCACGCGCTTCACTGCGATTCCTCCGGGATTATCCTCGTCCGTTTGCGTCGAAGTGTCATCCCCGTAGTCTTGACACGGCGATCCTCCATCGCGAACTCTTTCGAATTCTTGTCCGTCTTGCTTCGGGCACGAGGCCGGAAGTAACCAATCGCGGATTGATTCATCACCGTATACCTTTGAATGTGTGCATGTGTATGTGTGACATTTACGACCGTCGTCGCAATACGATCGTAGATTCGCAGTAAGCTCTAATTACTTATGTACACGCACTGCGGACGCTAGACACTGTAAGTACACATATTTACAACACTCTCGATGGCAAGATGATTATTTTGGTATATATATAATATGTATATATATATATATTATTTTTTTTTTTCTTTCTTCTAACGCGATCGTAACGGAGGCGGGAACGGGAAGATATACAGAAGTCCTTATGAAAAAATGCGCTATTGTCCTTGTAACATCACTGCCGCTCGTTCTCCTCCTCCTCCTCCTCTTCCTCCCTCATCCTCCCATCATGATTCGCCTCCTCCTCTAGCCATTGGTTCAGGATGTTGCTCCTCAGCTGCAAAGCAAAACGGAGAGGTTTCGTCGATCGTTTCTTTTTAATAACGGGATTGTTCTTCGCACAAGCAAACTTGTCTATTCCCGATGGAATCATCTCGACGCGTCCAATGAGCGCAAGACACGCAGAAGCTGCATTAGAATTTAAAATCTTTCTGAAAGGTTGCTAGCGTAGTTTCAGGATATACAGAGTACTTAGAGAAGAGAAACGAACAAGCGAGCGAGCGGATAATACATGCAGATAGATAAGCGATAAAATGGAAAAGATGTATCATATCTGTGGCGTAATGTTCTCAGGAGAGGTTCTTCTTTTTTTTTTTTTTTTTTTATTATTAAATGAAAAAGTTTCCAGGCGCAATGTAACAGGCGCATGTAGCGGTCATTGACCCGTTCTTCACGGAAAATAAACTAAATTTTCTTTGTTGCGGCTTGGTATTAATAAGTTACAAAAAAAGAGACATTTTTATACCGCGTATAGTTGCGAATAGTTTATACACTGCGTGTTTAGTATTGCTAAACATCAAATAGATTCGTTGCTGTAGAGATGAGTACGTGCAATCTAGGATTTTTTACGGATGCATTAATATAATCAAATATAGAGCGAATGTTCGAGTGATTTGCGTCTAAAGGTATAGGCTTACAAGAGATTCTACTAATACAAGAGATTCTACTTGCATAGCAGAGATTCCACTGGGTTTCAGATGCACGCGTGAAGCAGCGTTTTGTTTTCGATATCGCAGCCAATAGATATCGCATTAGGAAGCAACGAGCGCAAATAGGATCTCGATGCGAGATCAAGCTGTCGACGACATCGTGCGTTAGTATTATCACGGGATTCGCAATTACCGGGACCACATTAGTTTGGGAGAACGAGGTGGTGAGACGAGTGATGAGGGTGGCGGTGGTGGTGGTAGTGATGATGTGGTGTTGGTGTTGGTATTGGTGGTAGTTGTCGGTAGTGATTAGGGCAGCGCACAAAAACGAGCATTATGGCTCGGCTAGATTCCCGTTCGGATCCGTATACTCGTCGTACTCGTCCTCCGGTTCCTCGTAATCCGTCTCCGCGGGCTCAGGACCCTCGATCGCCGGCGTGGACGTGCTCGTGATGTCCTGCTAAGCACACACGAGAATCCAAGCGTACCCCGGCACTACTTTCCCCTTATCCCTTCTATCCCGCGTTAGGTGACTGTTAGTAGACTATTAGCATTCGTATGATTGTGTTATACATAAAACTCCGCAAAAGTAACTAGCAAAGAATGATGCGGCCCGTCGATTTCGCAAAAATAATACTCGCTGAAACTCCAGTGGCCAATTGATTAAATTCGGAATTCACGGAAAACTCATGAGGGGATTTCTTCATTCTATTATTTCTCGATCGTACTGCAAAATAATTGACGAAATAATTATTTAGTCAAAACTCCTGCGCCGGTCTCCCGCTTTGTGAGAGCAACCGTTAATTTTATTAAAAATTATATTCTACGGTTGTCATTGATAAATTATCTTCACGATCTAAAATATTCGCAAACATTTTCTAATATCCGTACATTTTTTTTCCCCGCACCTTTCGCGTTAATTTATTTCATTGCGAGTCGAGATTATACACGGTGTAACTTTTATTCCCACACATTCCCTTCTCTGTCTCCGAAACAAAATAAAGCTATCGATTACCTGCGGTGGTCTCCAGCCGCAGCCCGGTAAGGGAAGTCCGTCCGGTCCCAGCGGACACGGAGCATCCAATCCTGGAACACCTTGATCTCCCTTGTTGCCCTTGTCGCCTTTTCTGCCGCGTTTACCCGGCGGCCCCTGTGCGCATACGCGAAATGCATCATCTCTCTGACAGCGCGAAACACCCCGATGCAAGTACGCGACGTGCAAATAAGGCCAGGCATAATATTGTTGGATTATGCATTATAGTACTTGATCGATCCGGTGCACAATACCCCGACGAGTACAAAGAGCGAAGGTGAGCCTGTCGCGGGTCGCAGTTTAATTATAGCGATTTTAATTGATAATTACTACGAAGGCTTTCGTTTCTCGGTCGATCGTGCCCTTTTGACTTAATTCGCTATAATTACCGGATCGTCGAGGCACGATCTTTTCTGTCATCAAAGTCAAGATGATTTCCCAGAGAAAAGGCGACGGCGACAGCGCTCCCGTTGGCGCTTCGTTCCTCGAGCGTTTAATGTTAGTGTCTCCTCTATCATTATTCGCGCCTCGTAACTATGCGCTTTCACGGAACGATGGTGGCAGCATATATATGTGTATATATATATATATATTTACAAATATATACATTTGCAAATTTGTATGTACGCGCAAAAATGTGTTAGTCTCTCATGTTAGAACTTGGTAGGAAATGGGCATGTGTGTATATGTGTGCATGTGTGAGGATATTTTCCTCGTGTATTTCTACAACTAGACTTCCTCCGCTTCCTATTTTTTGTGACCTCGTGATGCTGCAGAGATCCCGCAGTCTCTCCTCGACGACGTCGGCGGCGGCGCGGGGTAGTCCCACCGACGTTTGCTTGCAGCAATAATCGTGAGTAAAAGAGTAAAAGTACCGAGGATGCGAAAGGAAGATGCGGGACCGTAACGATTCGATTGTTCGCCACGGAACTTTGCGGGATTCGCATTTGCGATCGATTCCTCCCGTTCCCAATTCAAAACGTCGCCCAGTCAGAATCAAACTAGTCGGGCAAAGTCCCGACAGAACTAACGGTAATTAATTTCCGCTTCCACGCCGTCAGTCCCAACGACGTCTCGAGCTTGCGATGACTTTGACTGCAAGGTAAACTAATCGACTAATACCAAGGATCCGCTGTGTACAAGAGCGTCCCGCTAACTCGCCGGGATACATGCGTATGATTGTACGTCCGTCAGGAAGCGAGCTGTATCCGGATGCTGCGCGCTCTTCTCGGTCCGTCAGTTATCGCTCGGTAAACAATCCCCGGGAAACATACGAGCGATCTAATCACGCGCGATCGCTTTCGCATCCTCGTCAGAGAAAGAGAGAGAGAGAGAGATAAGATAAGAGAAAGAGAGAGAGAGAGAGAGAGAGAGAGAGACAGTAATAAATCCGAGTGGATCGCGCTCAGTCGACGTCGCGCGT